AGACAAGAGGTGACTGCATCTAACATAAGTTGCTCCTGAGTAACTTACGATACACACAGCTTTGCCAAAAAATGCAGAAAAAATCGGCGCAAAACTGCACAACCGCGCCCGAAAAGGAGAGGATCGATGAACAGCTGATTTTGGCGAGGAAAAGAAAAAACCTCTTTTTCTTTTTTGTAGATTTTACTGACTTCTTTCTTTGACAAACTGCTCAAGGCAAGAATTTGTAGATTTATTTACTGACTTCTTTCTTTGACAAACTGCTCAAGGCAAGAATTTGTAGATTTATTTCGTTGGATTTATGTTGCAGTTATTTCAATTTTCCATAAAATTTTCGTCAAAAAATGCGTTTTTGTGTCATTCATGTTTTTTCTAGGCGAAATCCTTGATAGCGGTCATCATCGATTTTCCGATAGTGGTCGCTATCAAAGACGCCCTGCAATACAGCAAAAACGTGGCGCTAGCCGGTGTCGAACCATGGCCGCGTCCGTTCAATTTCAGTCCCTTATCTGCTCGACCAAACCAGCTCAAGTGTTTCCCTTTTCGAGAAGGCACTTGATTGTGATGCCTCGGAAGCGATCCGCATCCAGATCAATGGCTCGCCGGATGCTAGACTGAGGCGTGATGAGATCAACGCCGGTCCGCGTCGAGAAAGATGCCCTGATGGGGGGTTTACTACGGGCCATAGTGTACATATGGATGAATAGAGTTGAAAATATGGGGGTGGGAAGAGTGGGCAGAATTTTCAGCGAAGAGAAGTTAGCCACGAACTTCTTTTTGGTGTGCTTCAGAAAATTTCAGTGAACTGCAAGCGAGCGCTGGAAGGAAGGGAAGCAGTGTAGTGACAAGATATTGGTCCTCAAAGTCTCTCTCGGATTATTCGTGATTAATCGTAAATATCGACTGTGGATAATGCGAGAATGGCAAAACGAATCTTTTCAAAGCTCCAAAACTTCGATATGAAATAAATGCAAGGTTCCAAGATTGAAATTACAAAGTTGTAGCAAAATTCTGTAGTCATAGTCATATATGTGGTAATGCATGCATTCCAGTTTTGAGAGCAACGTTCTAAAAACGGGGTTATACTTAGGTAGCCCGACTTTAGTACGATCTTCTCGCTCTCGATTCACGTTAGATTCGCTCTTGGGCAACACTACCAAGTCTCCACTTTAGCCTGCATAGGAATCATACACATCCGAAATTCGCTATGACATTGAGAAAACTGTCAAAACGAATAACATTAAAGGCAGTGTCCGGGCAAAAACTCGATTTTGAGATTTTGTGCTTACCCGAGCCTATTCGCTATGCTGAATCCGAAAATGCACACTGGAGAGCGCGAAAACGGCGAAAAACGGCTCTAACACAGGAGGGAAATGAGCAGGTGGGCGGGGTTCTCCCCACTGCGAATTCACGTTCCCGGCTTCCGGAGCGACCTTCTCGCTTCCGGTTTCAAGTCAATCATTCGCACTTGACCGGTAGCGATGTTAGGACGGCTAGCGGAATCGAGAAAATCGGTCCGGGAGCTGGGAGCGTGAAATCGCATTGGGGAAAGCCCCGCCCACCTGCTAATTTCCCTCCTGTGTTAGAGCCCTTTTTCGACATTTTCGCGCTTTCCAATGTGGATCTTCGGATTCAGCATTGCGAATAGGCCCGTATAAGCACAAAATCTCAAAATCGAGTTTTTGCCCGGACACTGCCTTTAATGCATATGCACTTCGCATTTGCAGCAATTCTTCTTGCCACTTGACTTACACAGTGAATATTAATACCTTTCTTTCAATTGTGCATATACAGAGAGCCTCAAAAGTATGTATGCACTGTTTGATATGAATATCATTCTTCTTACAAGTTTTTTTTGTCAACGTTTAGGCACCATCCTATAGGATCTCTTCAATTTATTGTTAGGTTAATAGCAGCGTAAAACGAATCACTCACCCCTAATTATTATTGTAGGATTACGGTAGACTCTAAATAGGTTCCAAGCCATTGATTGGGGGCCATTTTTGCCTAGAATAGAAAACCAAACAAGTTGAATCTTACAGCTCGCTGATTCTATCTATAAAAATTATACTTGGCATATCTTTTGTACACAAGATATGCCAAGTATACTGTGACAACTGCTGTTCCAGTGTTCCTCAAATTGTGATCACTTCATTTTAGAAACTAAGCAGACCCGTACTTATATAGTGACATCGGAAGCTATAGGCGCCGTAAAACCTAACTGTCCGCGCCGTGCCTTGAACACCAGCGTAAGCGCGCGGTCGTCGCGAAGACTGTCGTTCATTATATTCCAAGAAATCTTTCTTTAACCTCCATAACAACCTCCATGTTGTTCTCGTCAATGCAAGGTATATCTTGACGAATGCTCCCTTCATAAGTTTGAGAAAAATATGTGTGGAAAGGGTGCGCGCTCATTGTCGCAAAAAGCCTGTGGCGCTTCGGGATCAAACGTTTCCAGCCGCGCGTTGGTGTTCAAAGCGACGCGTGGGCAATTGGATTTTACGGGGCCTGTACATAACTCCCTAGATTTTTTGTTTCTATTTGGATCCTATCACAAGGCGCGCTCAGCTGCAAATTCATACCTACAATACCGCTCATAATTCGTCAAAAAAGTCGCCGGACTGCGGCGCACTCCGCCACACTCCGCCACAGTGTGCCGGAGTGTGGCCGAGTGCGCCGCAGTCCGGCGACTTTTTTGACGAATTATGAGCGGTATTGTATAGTCCTGTAGTACTGAAAAACGATCGGGTACTTTCTTCACGCCATACATCTAAGTTGAAACCAGCTCTACAGTATGATTTCTGAATGTTGGCAAAGCACTTTGGGGAAGGAGAGCATTAAGATCAAACAGTGTGTATACATACTCTTGGGACACCTGTACATTCAATTGATGCTTGTCAAGCCAAAAAGCCATGTAGTCATATTCGAGTCAACGCTGAATATCCAATGTCGTTTTGAATTGGTCTTGTTTCGAAAGCGCTTTTTCTTCCATTACGTCTACTTATTGTTAGAAAATAACGTGGTTCATGCAATAGCAGTGAAAGCAAAAGGCATTTTCTGTCATGATACTTGCAAGGCCATTGCGTTCAAGACAAGCCTTACGCTATTACCCTTGCTAGCAACACTTCTAGTCTAAGAAAACCATTCTAATGTCATTATTACTCCACCTAAGTATCCCTATGCTCGTATGTTTCCACCGGCCAGGAAAAGCTGTGGGAAAGGGGGTAGAAGAGCCTTAAAAAGCTTCTCATCGTGGCTTCTCAAGATCTGTATTCTGATGGGAAGTGTAAAGGTTTTGTTTGTTCTCCAAATCCACTCGGAAATCCCTTAAAGTAAACATACAAACATATAAACTTGATCAGTTGGTATCCAATGCAAAAATCTTCTTTGCAGTAGCTTTACTCCGAAGCGATACTTCAGGCAAGCGCTAGTCGCCTAAAACTGCGGTCCTTCATTTTTACTATGTCTAGCTTTCGCTGTTCTTCGAATGTCAAGTGTATTTTCAGGTAGCTTCGATAGCCAGTAAATAGGGCAAACCCCAAAAATCGAACATTTTTATCTTCCTCTCACTTTTTCTCAAAAGTTCGCTGTGCTTCCTAAAACTCGAAGTTTGGATAGATTGCATAAGCTATATGCGCCCCAAGTACAATATCTAATCTCTAGGTTTCAAGATTCGATTATTGCTGACACTGACCTTACAAAGTAGACGAGCGATTATCGTGTGAACATATGAAGATATTGAAACTTAGGACACACAGTTGTAAAGTTGAAAAATACGAGAGTTAATGTGCAAAATTTTTTAGTCTCATAGAGTTGAGTTAGCTGTTAACAAGCGGAAAGAAAGTCGCTTTACTCAGACAGTCGACGGCGCACCTCCGGAGCACAAATTGCAGGGCCGTGGGGTCTGCCCAGCGGTGGGTCTGCCACTTCGCGCTCTGTGGCGCTCCGGAGCCCTGCCATTTCACGCATTTTGCTGCTCCGCGGCTCTCCCAGAACTGGCGCACCTCTGGAGCAGAGATTTGCGCGTCCCGGAGAGGGGTCCCATTCGTCCACCGTGACGTCACAAGCAGGCAGAATGGGACCCCTCTCCGGACGCGCAAAGCTCTGCTCCGGAGGTGCGCCAGTTTTGAGAGAGCCGCGGAGCAGCAAAATGCGTGAAATGGCAGGGCTCCGGAGCGCTCCAGAGCGCGAAGTGGCAGACTCGTGCCATTCTCCGCCGGAGGTATCCTTTCGATTGTCTGAGTAAGCGGTACTTGAACTGTTTAGTACTTTACTTCTACAAGGTCACAATAGACTGAATGTAAAACTTGATTATTCAGAAAGCATATTCCAAGAACTTTATACCCTATATGTTATTGCGCTTCTATTCATTATGCTTGATTACTAGACAGTACTTTAGCTAAGCCTACGAAAAATTACTCTTCGCAGTTCTCTTCCCTTACCGGCGGGGTTTTGGGTGCACACGGAGCTTAGTTTTATGCGCATACACTGGACTTATTGCTTTCTAGCATCCATATCAATTACATGGCTGAATAAAAACCGATAAACGCTTACGGTATTGCTGAAATGCCTAATGCCTTGACGAGTGGATGGATGTAGCTTGTTGTTACAGCTGCTATTTCAAAGTAATTAAACATAAAGTATTGAACTTTTTCTCGCAGTCCATAGAATCACCAATTATTGAGAGGTGAAAGCGCCGTTACGCATCCATAAACATCGACTCCTTTAGGCCTGGGACAGAGTTCACGCGATTTAATCGTCGCGATTCAATCGCGACAAGATAATTGTTACAGTTCACTGCGTGCCCGACCAGCTTGCATTTCGGTTGTGATACTTTTCCAGCCCGAAATTTCTGAATGTAAAATGAAAATGAATGGAAATCGCAGCGATTGAATCGCGACGATCAAGTCGCGTGATCTCTGTCCGAGGCCTTACGGAATAGTCTTAAAGTACACAGTGAAAATTTTATGCTTTTTACTAAGGTAAAAAGTGAACGACGAATGTGGCGTTTGTTGATCATCGCAGCGATCATCCAGTTTGGTATGTCAACTAATCAAAACCAGAAAGAATAATTGAGAAGTTTAGCAAATTCTGATGGGGAGTGCAAGCTACCTGTTAATTTGGGGAAGCAAAACTGCGGCAAACCTCCTCAGACTTTAGTGAGTTTGATTCACACTACTTGTTCAAAGCTGATCACAAAATTTCAGTACTTTTTTGACGTGGATACCTACATGTGTCTCGCATTCAACTACAGTGGCTGTGGCGGAAACCATAACAGTTTTAACACATCGGAGGAATGCGAGATGTGGTGCTCAGTTGGGGTGGGTACTACAAACTTTGAAGATTTCCTATCATGGTACAGGATGACGCTTCACATTATTTCCCTCAAGATCCTGCGCGGATTACTCTATCGCACTATAGCTCCAACACTCCTATTTAGATCTTTTGTCGATTGAGTAAAGTGTAACATTTATGACATTGCAGAGGATGAACGATATCATGCATGTGATAACGATACGCCAAAAGTGGGGTTTTGCAGCAGATCTAAAAAATGCCCGAAAGGATCGAGTTGCAAAATGATTGGATCTGAAGGAGTATGCTGCCTTAATGAAGATGATAGTGAGTGTAATTTGATTGATTCTGCAACCTCGAATCCACGAAATTGGAGACATCCACGAAATTGGAAACAATGATGAAATTGTTATTGCTTTTCTTGCGCACACACAATATGGGCGAGAAATCGCCATACCCAGCAAATTACAGCGAATAAAGATGTCTGCACTTTGATCGTTACATTGCGACCATCTTACAATCCATCTTGTTAGATCGATATGGTATTAAGTTGACGCCAAAATTTGCACCAAAATTGCTTGCACCAAAATTTTTGATTTTCTCCTTCTCAAATAAAATCTTCTATTTAACATGTATTAGAGAGAGGAAACCCTGCGCTTTATTGTGCTTGGATGAAAATCTCTTAATGTTATATGGCAACGATCAAGAGCTGAACAAGAGAAATACCAAAAAGTGATTTTTTGAATTTTCGTTCAAAACTCCTACTAAAATTTTCATTTTTTCTTGGTTCAAAGATCTAATCTTTTTGACAAAGACAAGTTGGTAGCGATCGCATGTCTCTACAAATACTTATGAACTTCGAATTGTTCAATTCAAGTTAGCGATATACTAATTTTTATTAGTATATGGCTAATTTAGATTTTCTAGAATGCGCTACAAAATATTATCTTCGATATGCATACCAAAGAGTATTCTATAAAAATTGATTGGTTTGCTTGAGCATTTTTAAAACGAATTTTCTTATTTTTTGTGCAAGAATTGTGCATCAGCCTAGTATTTAACTTCACTTGAATTACAATGAAAAAGGAAATAAATGAGTAAAACACAATCAAACACATGGTAAACCGTGTATTTTGTAATGCAACTCAGGACTACTCTCTATCAAACTTTAATTGGAAAGAAAAAATAGAAAGAGAAGGTCGTTTAAGTTTAGATGACTTTAAACAAGCTCTTGAAAATTAAGAGCTACGCACACAAACAGTCACTGACATGAATATTTTGACTTCTTTTTCTAACTAAGTAAAGTTTGTGCTAATTGAATTCTTTATGAAAAGCTACGATGTTCGAGAAAAATGCCAGAAAAACTTTTTTTCCTGTTTTCTGCTGTTTTCTCAAAAATCACAGCAGAACTAAAGAAAAGCTTGATCAGCGCACATTTTGCTCAGTTAGAAAGAAGAAACCAAAAAGGTCAGTTATCGACCTTTTTGGTTTCATTGCATAAATTTTAGATTTTGAACGGGCCCTACCTGAAGTTACCAAACCTCTAATAATCTCCTTTTTCATCCTTATCATCGGAGTTTGATGAAGAGAACAAGGTAGAAAGCACATGATTACCCTTTCTATTTTGATGCCGTAATAAATTATGCGACAGAAAGAAGTTATGATATGATGTACAAAACTTTCGGTTTAACCTAGTATCTTGCTTCTCACAATCAGAACTCTTATTCAGCCAGTCATCGTTAGTGCGGAGATATCGAGGCGATTTCTAGAGCTTAGAATTTCGAGTTGTAATAAGTACAAAATTTCCTCGCAGCGCTCATTTATTCTTATCTATTCTTTATCCACTCATCTTCTCGCGGTCCATTGTCCAGCGTTCCAGCTATTTGCCTACCTTTCCAATAATTGCTTATATAGAGAGACTAGTAGCCGATGAGAATCCCAACTGTGGCAATAAAAAAGTGGTTAAAGAAAGAATTGGCCGTTATGTGAGTCCTACAGCTACTTAGCGCCTTGGACGTAATATCTAAAACAAGCTAGCATTACAGAAGAGGACATTGTTCGGCAAGAGCTGCAGTCACAACTTCTGCCCCAAGAACAGCGAATGTCGACGTGGAAACTTCTTCTCCTACTGTTGCAAGTAAATCCAGGTTAAATAAAAGCTTCGCATGACGGAAGTCTCAGATTTAGAAATTATAAGAAACACGTCACTACCGCTCACAGAATGTGCATTTCCGTGAATGCCGCGGAATTCCCGGAACTTGGCGACATTGACGGAAATTTTGCACATTCTATGAGCGGTATTGTACAATCTGCCCCAATCGGGATCAGGCCGAACTGTTTGCTAGATTTGCGCGCACGCTGCGCTACTAATTTGCGCTCATATGCACACTGTCGTAGAGGGTGAAGAGACGGAAGAAAGAGCAGGGAAGCAGTCCATAGGCGTAAGGACTAAGGCATACCTCGCACGATCCGGCTAAATCGCGACGTTCGACGACATGGCAGTTTGTCAGATGTCTCCACACTTATCGTGCACGGTCTTACAACACATGGACGCGTAGTTTCTGCAATTTTTTGCAAACCGATCAAACCCTGCCTTGACAAAGAGCTCCGACGACCAATTATGAACAGTCGTTCCGGTACCAAATCGCGCAGCGACAAGAATCGCGTGAAATTATGAGCGCTCAAATGGGGAAGTTGTCAAGTATTCTGTAGCGCATCTTTCACGAAAAACATTTCAAGAATTAGTTAGTTTTTTGGTGAATGTGCTGCTTTTCTGTACTTAGATACTCTTAATTAGATAATCAAGCGCCCTCAGGCTGCCTTCCAACGAATTATGTCATGCTTAAACGATTATAAATCGTTCTTAGTCGTTTGGCGGATAATAAACAACCAATTGAAATCAAATTTGTATGAACGGTATTCCCTCACACTTAGCATAATTCCTTCGTCATTTCCTAACTGAATCTGCTCTAATCAACGTTTCAAGATGAGTCTGATCATATAAAGCTTATTCAAAATGGCTGAGTTGAGTTCTGACCATTTCCCGTTTGTCAGCTACGGTCCGGTACGATTACCAAACAGGAAAATAGTTCTAAAACCAAAATGTTACCAGATGTTACCTGAATGTTACCTGAACTTGAGTGTAGAGCAGAATCAGCTAACAAGGGAGGTGTTTTCGGTCGAAGTGGCCTTTTCAAATGAAATTGATACTACCATAAAGAGCATCAAACGCTGATCCCAAATCTGTCTTCGTTATCTGCCGAGCTCCTCTAGACGTCGAGTTATGAATATTTTCTTAATGCGAAAAATAAACGCATAATCTAAGTAAAATAAAATTTTACGGTCTTCTCAGCGCTCAAATAGAGCAGTGTTAAGTATGAATGCTTTGGATAAAAGATGTTGTTTAGATAAAGTGCTTTGATAATCAATATTGGACCATTTGAGCAATTCTGATGAATATTGTCCTAAGTATGCATTTAATTTCTCAACTCAAAAAACGCTCATAACTCGACGTCTAGGGGCGCTCGGCAGATAGCGAAGACAGATTTGGAATCAGCGTTTGATGCTCTTTACAGTCGTATCAATTTTATTTGAAAAGGCCACTTCAACCGAAAACTCCCTTGTAAGAAATGATGGAGAAATTATGCGACTGTGAGGAAAAAATACCGTTCATACAAATTTTTCCAGTTCCATACTTTGTTGTTGTTTCCCACAGAGCATGTACACCAGATTTAGAGCCCTGTCGTTTCTTATGCGTCGCAAACGAGCCATTCTTCAGAGCTCAGCAGTGAAAATCCAGAAAGCCTGCCAGACCCTTCTTCACATAATGTTTCCATATTTCGTAGTCTGTTACCTCCCTTTTCCGTTTATATACCAAATTTGGTGTCATATCGTTATCTGTGCAGTGTAAACGCGTCACTTCTTGAGTTTCTGGTGTAAAGAGATCGGTTTTGATAGGAGTGCCTTGAGAAAAATTGTGTACAGTCGGTTTCATCCCGGATTAGTCGGAACATCCCACTTGGAGCAGCATGTGCACATCGCTGGAGCTTCGCGAGCGTGTAGCGCTGGCATTTTGCCAAGCAAAGACTGAGGAGAATAAAGAGACAGACCTGGGTTTTCAGCACGATATGCTACCGTAGCTGTGAAACAGTGCGAGTCGGTGCGAGGAGGACGCCTGCCAATTCAATTTTCGCTTAAAGCGGGTAGAAACGTGCAAGTCAGTCGTGTAAATTTTGTTAAGGGATACGTATAGCCGATTCGTTGACCGCACGGACTGGACATCACTGTGGAGCACGCACCGCGAGGTAAAACGCTTGGCCCAATACAAATTCGTCACTGTACAAGTCCTGCTCCTTCAACATTTCAGCCGCGCCGCGTGGTCCGCAGCGTTTGAGCAGTCCGTGCGGTCAACGAATCGTCGATATGTGCATGTGAATGGGTATTTTCAATAGCCCTTCGCTTTTTCCTCAAAAACAATTTCGATTTTCTGCTAATCGTAAGCGAGGCGCATTCGCAAGTCTTTCTACGATTTCAGATGATTGCAGTACATATTTAAAAAAAAAGTGTGTCATTGGTTACACAATTCGTTCAGAGACGGGGCCGGCAGCTCAAAGACAGTGTCTTGGCAAAGTATGCTCTTCGCATTCACTTTCTAGAGTCTTCTCATCATGCAAAAACCTTGTATTGCTTTGCAGCGCAAGAAATTGGCGAAAATAAGCTCTTCTCGAAGCCCTTCATGTCCTCATTCGCTGCAAAATGCGTGTAAATGGGCAAGTCCAAAAAACTTCCAAAGTGGATTTTAGGCAGCGGTCATATCTCGCGCGATTTTGGTCGCTGCGCGAGTCGGCATTACTACGATGGCTCATAATTCGTCATAAGCATATTCTCGGTGAGCAAGATTCGACACACAATAAGTAATTGTTTGGCAGGTAATATGCACACATTTCAGATCAGCATTTTAAAGCGAGTCCGATGATATACAGCTTCTTTAAAATGTCTGGGTCAAATTCTGACCGTTCCCTTGTGAATCCATTATTTAGTTGCCTATAGCGGGAACAGGCTGAGTTGTTGGCGTGGAATCGCGCGACCGCGTCCACATACATTTACCGGCTGGTGACCGGGCGACGAAGACCTTCCGGCCAAAGGCTGCGCCACGTTTTGGGGCGGAGCCTAAAACCGGCTGAGGAAAACTGAGCAGATCAGAGCTACGTAAGCATCTGTTTTGAATGTCTTTGTCACCATACTAATGTTTTCCATGAACATGTTTCAGAGTTTGGAGTGAATCTAGTTTGCAAATTATATGCGTGCTTCAGCCTATTGTTGATTATAGATTATCTGCTTATTTATGTGCTCCGGAAAAATTCTGCTCTATGAAATAATTGTTCTTCAAACATCATAACGTCTAATGGATAATTGCTTAGAGAATAAGTGGTTATACATGGTAACGAAAGTCCGCTTACTGAATTGTTTCATGCTTACGTCAACAGGTGAGCAAAATTTGTAATTCTTGTGCAAAGACTTGTTTATTTTGTTCAGAGATGGAAATGATGACGAATGTAATGTTAGAATAGTCACTATGTACTACATGTGTTGGAAATCTGCTACGTATGGATAACAACATGATGAACATAATGATAGTAGCAGTGGCGGTCCAAGGATTTCGGACAGGGGGGAGGACGACAAAAATTTCTGAGTGAAGGTGCGAAGCGTTAGCCAAGCACTCCGAAAAAAATTTTTGGGAGTGCGTAACTTTGGGTCTCCCCCTCCCCTCGAACCGCCACTGGATTGTAGTTATAGCACAATGCTATTGGAAGCTATTGGCTTCTCACCCATATTTTGAGGTTTCCATATTTGTAGGTACACAGGGCATCATACTTTTACGTGAGATAAGTATTATGGAATACAAAAGAGGAGAGTCCGCTTTTTGGTGTTGAGCTCAAACCTAATGGGGATCGTCGTCTTTATATAGTGCATTGATGATACATATGCCATGTAGTTATGTTGATCACACTTGTTTTTTCTGGTCTATGCTTATTCGGTGAGAACTGAATGAAATATTGCAAAGCATTTCTTGTCACATTGTATGTGACAAAAAAATAAAGTGAGCCAGAAACTGATGATAACGCTAGCCTCAATAACGGCTCGCTATGCTGTAGCTGATTCCGGCTGGCGTTCTCGCCATTTTCGCGCCGTGATCGGCTGGCGTGCAGCCGGCGGCCGGCTCGGCCGGAACTGAGATGTTGCGTCAGCCTGTCATCGCCCGGTCACCAGCCGGTGGATGTATCTGAGCAGCGTTAGGGGTTGACTGTGTATGTAATACATGCCAGGAAGTTCGACCATACATCACCGCTATTATTGTGCTATCAGTGTTAACAATGACCTATCCCCAGTATTACCCTGTTACCACACCTTCGTTCATGGCAGCCGTCATTGCCGTGGTCGGTCCCGCCTTCAATAAATGAATGAAAAGCCTTGCAGTGTAATCTCTCATTGCGAATCCTTAACTAATAAACTAGTTCGCCTCTTGACATGAGGAACCGGCGGAATCGCAGTCGAAAAAATGTTGCACTAAGACCGAACATTCATTCAAAGCGAAGTACCGCCAACATTGGAAAGCAGCTACATTAAACAAAGACATTAACAACAGTGGTAACAGCGGCAACAAGGGAGGCAACACCGGAGATAGTGTAATCTTTGTCCGAATTTAAGGAACGAGAAGAACAGTCAGGTCCTTTGATGGCAGATTTGACGTAGACCATGGCTGCAAGAGCGCCACGCAGCTTTGGTGACTTCTTTGATGGCTTACCAGTTTTATGGTTGAGCCAAAGAATGTACTGGCTAACCAGTCTCAAAATCAGCGTCCGGGCAAAATTTCGAACAAAATTTTTCTGGCTAACCTGGGTTTATTCTTCCCGTTGATTTCGAAAATGCAGCTTGCAGAGTACGAAAGAAAATGTCGGCAATGGGCTATTCCAGAAGCAGTTTATCTTGAACATGGGCCCTTGCCGCCGAGGTTGAAACGCAGAGTCGTGTCCTACGTCTTGACTGTGTGCGACATGCGTAGGCTGCTGCATGAAAGACGCAGAAGCAGTATTAGATAAGAGGCGCGAACGCTGCGCGAGCATATATGTTCATCGTTGTGAATCCTGCACCTCATGCGCGCTGCGACTAATAAAACAGCGTTCGCGCCCAAGGATAATGCGCCTTTCTCATGCAGCAGCCTATATGTACTCTGGCTATCGATTGACAGGGCGAGCAGGTCTCTGGAGCGTTCCGGTCGCCCTTCTAAAGCGGTTTTCTCGCTTTAGAGACGAAGTGGTGCAATGCCATTTGAGCAAGAACTTTATGAAGACGGGAGCTCCTTACGCTACAATCTCATATCTGCCCGGACGCTGCCTTTGAAATATAGTCCAAAGTGCAGTTTGTTGACTCCTTTGTGTTTATACAGTACAAGTAAACTATGAAAGCTTTACTGAGACACCAACATGCGCTCTTTCAAAGAGCGGTAGAAAGCTGCTCCTAATAGGCGGAGCAAAGTATGAAGATGATATCAATACAATCATGCCTATGACCTCAAGGCTCACAAACTCGCGACTTGAATCTTTTCATCTTTGGGGTCATTGGGCCTCCCCAGCATTTCGGCTAGGCGGAGGGTTATGGTTATTATACCTGGGCCAGTGGACCCGCCTTATAAGCTGTCGGTTTGCTTTTAAGAGTAATGTAAACATCGTTCCGCTGACAACGAGGGGGCATGGGTCCCATCTCCTTGGAGTTATAAGTTGTGGAGTTATGAGTATCGATGCCTATCAATGCCTACATTTGTATACATATCTATTAGCCTATCAACATATTCGATGCAAGCTGTTTCATTCTTCTTACATTAGTCCCTCTAGGATTAGACTTGGATTGACATGATGATGTCTGCATTCGTTTACGTTTCCTGTTCATTCCGCTGTATTACTAACTTGATGTGTTTTATGGAACGCCTTGAGCGTACAAAAGAAAATGAAAAATAAAAGGCTACATGTGAGTCTATGCGAAGAAGTAATTGATAAGATTGTGAGAGGTGCCGTTCTATTCGGCATACCCGTTTGGGACGGGGGACGGTCATGAGCCACGATTGGCGCGAATTTTTCGCGAAGTGACGCCGCAACGTACTTCAACCCTTACAACATTAGCACTCCTGGCGCAGTCCTCCTTATAGCATTAAGTCATGCATCTGCCCCCACCCTCATCCCTATTTTTGCCGCTAGGAACCTATATTGGCGGAAAGTTTTGGAGGCCCAAGATTTGAACGCGGCGTGTGCGGAAGAGCGGCCGCCGCTCGCGGCGTACCTCCTGACGTGCAGCCGTTACAAGTTCCCACAAGCACTTGTACAATTTTTCGATCAACTGCTTTCTTGGAGACAAACTAACCCTATCCATTGAGGTGGCGTAACATAGTTGCTCAAAGTGCGGATCGCTCCAGATCGGATCCACAGTCAAACGGAACACAGGTAGCGAAAGGCGCAAACGGTCGCGACAGGACGAAAGCGGTTTTAAGCAACGTGACACGACTTATGCGGTCGCTTACGCTATGCACACTGACTGTGTCCGGTCGAAAACGAAGATATCCGGATACGATTATGAATAACTATGTTGTCACATGCCACACTGCTGTAAAGCCGGTGGTTACCGATCTGTGAGGGTCAATAGAGTTGTATGAATACTTTGCATCTAAAGTTCTTAGCAAGCAAATACCCAGAAGCATTCCGTTGATAGTGATACTGCATCTCTGTTTCCTCAGTAAAGTGCACGACCTAACCTTGCTATTAGGGACCGTCCATAGCTTGCCGGCGACGGCTGCAGAGGTTGCCGAGGTTACTGGGTTTGCCGCCTAGAGAGTGCATAACACAAGGAGACCACTATTAGGTGCTGCAACGATCGGCAACCTCGGCAACCGCTGTCGGCAACCTATGGCCAGTCCCTTAGTGTCATTATGTGCGACACCGATGCTATAATGCTAAAAGTTGCTCGTTAAAACGTTCGGCGCACCTTGGCAATTTGTGTTCGGAGATACTGCTCGTATGGCCGTCGGAATCCCTGTGATTCGCGCGATCACTGTGATTTTTGTCGAAACCACTTGATCAGATTGCATAACATTGAGTAACATTGAACACCACGCGTTCTTATGCGACGTCTCCCACCTCCTGTTGATGCTGGTGTTGAAAGGGACCTTGTCTACATCAGAGGGCTTAGACTTAGTCCATCTTTCCCTTCAATTCTCTTTGCCCATTTCTCTATCTTTCTATTGCAAAATAGAACTACCATTTTGAATACACTTTGATACCACTACACTTTCAGGCAAGAGTCATGCTATCTCCTTGTTACCTGTGGTAGCCACCCCTGTGATATCTGCAGTTTCTAATAGAAGAGTGGGCCACACTACGCGGCTGCGACGTACGCAACGCCCTCATATCTTTGCGGGCGTCGCGTACGTCCGTACCCGCTTAGTCTGGTCATATTTCAAAGATTAATTACATCAATTTCTGCCTTCTTAGTCTTAACGGAACACTTTGCAAGGGTATTTCTCTAAGGTTACTGATTAGGGAACGGCCAGAGGTTGCGTCTCTCTCCCGCGTGCTCTCTGAACATTACATAGCCTAAATCAGGTCCCGAAGCCCACTCGTACCTATAGTAGCAAATGGCTGCGAAGAGGGCGCCCATGACCTAGTACAAATTGGGCTTTCGCGCGGGACTCTAGTCGAAACGCGCACACCCCATAGCAGTTGAAGCGCGCACACCCCATAGCATTTAGAGTGAGTAAGTGACGCTGGAGGAAAACAACTCCTTCATCTAGCAGAATCATGAGAGTACTATGCAGCTCAACCCCAAGCGCAGCTACATGTACACTACAGTTCAATCTCTCAAATTTGAGCTAGATACATTGTGAACGTATTGTCATTTTTGATTAGGCTAGGCATCTGCTCACTGAGTTTAAAAGGGTAGGCTACTAGGGATAATGGGCCGCTAGTATTGTTTGCTTTGTAGTGTTTTGTTGTTCTTGCTTGTAGTGTTTCTTGTCGTGTTGTAAAATGTTGACCTTTTTCCATTCATTGGTAGCTATGTAGATCTTTATTTGGTAGATTCATGTATGTTTGCCTCGGCGATCAGCGAGTGCGCGAAATGCGCGCCAAAATCTACTATTTCGCGATGGCTCCGCCCGATTTCTCAATCATTGCCTCACTCCCTGCTTCCAGCCTTATCGCGTGCTGCCTTTGCTCATAGCCTCTTCGTTATTTTTTTTGTAGTTTCTTGCTGCATATTTGTGTCGTTGTGTTTATTTTTCTTTTGTAAGTGTTGAGTGTTGTGGCCTTTTTCTTCTGACAAAAGGCTTGTTGCATACTGTGGTCTAGTTAGTCAGAACTGCGGTGAAGAGCCGCGTCGGGTATCTAGACGAAAACAAATTTGTTTTGCTTTTGCACTTTTTCCGCCACTTGGGGACCGAGCCGGTGACTAGACCACAGCGGAAGCGTCAGCGACTTCCGCAATAAGGAGAGTAAGAGCAGCGGTTACACCCTGCTCAGATTTAACAGGGGCACTCACAGTCCCCACCTTTTGAGAAAAGCGGCGATTACACCTCGCTAGAATTTTGAGAACCTTTGTCAAGAATTAGAGCGGCGGCTACGCCCTGTTTGGAAAAGTTGAATCAAACTTGGGGCATTACAGTCCCCAAAAATTTTGAATTGTCAAGGCGGCGGTTACACCCCGCTAGATTTTATGAGTCTTTTGAGGATTGTAGCGGCGGCTAGCCCCGCTTGTCAAAGTACCAATCGAATTGGGGCACTTACAGTCCCCAAAAACTTCAAAGCTTTAGAGCAGCGGTTACACCCTGCTTTATCGATTACTATCGATTGAATCAGACTCATACGCGCGCCTACGGCCGCAGCAAACGAGCAAAAGGGCTACCTTGAAAGGATGATAGGATTTATAGGATATTAGCTGGCAAACCCGGCTCCGCCCGGCCCTGTCATTATTATATTCGTAATCAGCATGCTCGATTACCCCCCTGTGCCAACTCCCAGCCCCGTAGCTCAAATTTTGCAAAAAATCGATAAAATCGATATCGATCGATAACGAAAAGTAGCCTATGACACGCTCCCTGCCCCGAAGTATATGTGTGCCAAGTTTGGTCCAAATCGGTTCAGAAATAAAAATTTCTATTCCGCACAAACGTACAGACATACAGACAGACATACAGACATACAGACAGACATTCAGCTTTATATATAAGAATAGGATTTATATCGGCTGGCAATTCCGAGAACTGATATTACTGTGTTTTGTAGACATTAACTCGTATCCTATCGCGTACTGTCGCAGAAGTCTACAATTTTTCATTCTTTTACATTGCAGAAAATGATGAATCCCGATGAAGAGCAAAGTGTCAGCCAGGGTAATGAAAAGGAGCAAAGGCAGCACGCGATAAGGCTGGAAGTAGGGAGGCAATGATTGAGAAATCGCGCGGAGCCATCACGAGATCAATAGATTTTGGCGCGCATTTCGCGCACTCGCTGATCACCGAGGCAAACATATACATGAATCTACCAAAAAGATCTACCAATGAACTGAAAAGGTCAACATTTCACAACACGACAACAAAACACTACAAGCAAGAACAACAACAGTACAAAGCAAACGATACTAGCGGCCCATTATCCTTAGTAGCCTACCCTTTCAAACTCAGTGAGCAGATGCCTAGCCTAATCAAAAATGACAATACGTTCACAACATACTACTACTGGAGGTTTTCTGACTAGTAGGCTTACCAATGTGATCAAGTTAGTTGGCGTATGGATGTTGTTGTTGAGGCAGCGACAGCAGGTTTATGAAGAAGGATATGGCAACAAACCTCTCTTAACTTTCTTCTTCGTTTACGTAAGCCTTTTTATAAAGCTTTTTTTGTTGGCAAGCCTTTCTCGAGCATATCTTTGATTCTTGATGCTCGACATTTGGGAAGCTTCAAATGAACAGACGATTCCTTGGCTTTAACGTTTGCTGTTTTTCAAAGTTACTGGAACCTGTCCTTTTTTGAAGCGTGCTTGCCTGTAGTTTTGATAATTGAATCGAATGTTATCTGCATGCTTGCGTGTTTTAGAAAATAACTGCCATATTCCATGTTCTCAGACTAAAATCCTGACTTCCTCTGTAAGAAAAGTGCAGGACATAGAAGACAGACCTTTTTACTACAATACGCCGCTTATGGAAAACCTTCAAATCATTAGACTGAAGAGTAGTTTTGTTATGCGACTATAGGAAGCACTCTTCTTGACTGCGTCACAATAAAGCAATCGTGGAAACAGATGAAGAAGTAAAGGGGCAAAAAGCAGAAACCACGCATCCAACTCTCACAGACAACATCAGGACTTATGCCTCTGGAGCTTCTCACCTGTTCATAAATCTATGAATGAAAGCTATTATAATGCCATTGAGAGACCAGATATTGACGTAATAACGCTCTATCTAAGATGGATGTCGGCACCGAAACTGATGCAATTATTGCCGCGAATGAAGACTCAAACTCAAAGACACGAACTTAAAAAACAAATCAACAATAGACCAAATCAACTTCATAATTCCTCTTTTGATAAACTGAATCTGCAGCTCATTTTTCGTGATTGCCTGGGAGCAGAACACATTGTTTGTCAAGGGCTACCTCCAGTTTATGCACGACCAAACTCATCCCTTTTTATGCTAACAAAAAGTTCCTGGTCAACGGGGTTAAGAAACGTCGATCTGAGGAATTCCAACAAAGGGCACTTGTTTTTGGTGATCCTTCCGCGAAAAAGGAGTTGTTTTCTTCAGCGTTGTTACTTCGCGATGGGTAGAGGACCATATGTCGCCGAAAAAAGGCGGTTCCCGCGGCCATTTGAGACAAATACGCACCCTTGTATATGCGCGGACATTCGTTCCTGCAGGAAATCCGTGAGGGACTCTTCCACATTCGGCGACGTATAGTCCTCCACCGGGTGGAGGACTACATGTCGCCAAATTTCGAAGAATCCCGCGCGGATTGCCTGCAGGAACGCATGTCCGCGCATGTACAAGGGCGATTATTTGTCGCAAATGACCGCGAGGTCCGCCCTTTTTCGGCGACGTATAGTCCCCTACCCTCCTCCACCCCTTCGCGATGAAGGTTATGGGGTGTGCGCGCTTAATCGACAGGAGTCCCGTGCGGAAGAGCAATTTGCATTGGATCATTGGGCGCGCTCTTCACAGCCATTGTAACTATAGGTACGAGTCCCGAAGCCCTCCTTCCAGCAGCCAAGTCAATTGAATCAAAGGGTATATACCGGCGACTGATTGTGAGTTGACTCTGACTCTCATTTGAGCGGAATCTGCGTTCGTCGCTCGTAAACTCCGCTCGTATGATGAAAACCGGAATGATGTTTATTTCCCTAGTTCATGTTGATAATGGAATGGCAAGCATTCGTCTCGCAACGGTTCGCGCCATTTTGCAGTTACAGAGTATGATACTGCACTAGCAACCCATGTGCGTCCTCTTATCTCTTCGGTCTCTAACTGGCATGCCACCGCTGTGCGCTCGCAAGACCTCCAGCGAAGCGGGCGCGTTGCGAATGAGGTGCTTTGGCCTCACCTATTTGAAAGAGACCTGCAGCTGAAACAGGCAATCCTGCGCGGATTTAACGTTAAATCTGCGCGCGTTTTGCAGCTGAACAAAACAGTCGTTCGGGGATCGGCCATACTAATCCAGGAGGTGGTTCCCGTGATTCCTGTTATTCTTGCAATTCCGTGATTTCCCGACTTCCGACGTGCCGCACTACGGAGCGCTTTGCCAATTTCAGTACACATTGTTCTTTCGCAATATACATTGTTACAAGGCCGGCAGGAATCAGGAATCGCAGGAATTGCAGGAATCACAGGAAACGGCTGCTCCTTTAGTCTGGCGCCTACCTCAGGACTTCAGTGATCGCTTAGGTAGGGGGCGCCAACATTCACAGTGTCACAAAAGTATGCCACCGTCCGCTTTTTCGGGACACGTCATTGTAGAGAACAGAAACAACAAAGCATCAAAAGGAAGTCTCGCGCTCCACGAACAGCGGTAACAGGAATTAGTTAAACAATAAAGATCAAAGGCAAGAGGAAAGCATGACTGCTTGAGTCTGAGGCTTGAGATATACCTGACGATTTGTCGCTATAGCTGACGATAAGACGCTGCCAGCAGCAACGCCTTCTGTGCGTATCGATTGACGCCAGGCGACGCTGCTGCTGCTAGCTGCTGCAGCCAACGCGAAACGAACCCGCTATAGCTAGCGATGCTGCGCTGCTCTGCGCTGCTGCTTGCTGCTCGTTGCTGCTCCTCGCTGCTCTTCGCTGCTACGCGATATGAAGCTCACTTTTGGTGAGCTTCTCTCAGCTGCTTCATGCTGCTAACGCTGTTTTTGCTCGGATTTGTCCATTTTTAGCATATTTTTGAACTTCTGAAGGATTTCTAGAGCACCTTGTTGCGATACTGAACCATGAGAAATTTGCAAGACCAAAACGCAATGCATCAATAAGAAACACATTGAAAAATTGACAAAGTCGACAAAGAATTGGATCTGAACAACTGCACAGAACTTTTGCGAAGCAAAAGTGAAATCAAGTTGGAGTAACGATAAAAAGCTAGAGGATTTTAACGACTTAGTGGGATGTTACCAGTACACCGCAGTACATTAACGGCAGCTATGACCTATATTGTTCGGTTTTTGCCTCAAGCATCAAGTTCTTCTGCGACACTCGTTTGGATATTTATCAAATGATTATTTACTCAGTAGATGCAACATTTGGTTTGCCATTTTATGTTTCTTGAAAAAATTGTTGATGAGAACAGGATGACTTTTTCGGATCTCATGTAATCATATTTTTCAATTTTGGTAGTTCTCAAGACTTCCTTGCATAATGGCCTAAGCTAAGCGTAGTAATGGGTAAGGTTACTTCGTCCATGCACCCAAAACGTAACCAGCGCAGCAGCCAAGAGCAGCTAAAGGCAGCGCAGACATCAGCGATTTGCCAACACCCGCTATACCTCTATCGTCAGGTATATCTCAAGCCTGAAGGAACCATTGCTCTAGCACAAAACATCGCTGTCTTTAGGTATTGCCGGCTATGAAACGGCGATCTCCATTATTGGGACTCTTTTTAATCGCTGATGTGGTCATTACTATAGTCGCAATGGGTCTCTATTCTTCTGGCTGGACGTTCAGCTTTGATTTAATCGTCAGACATCTGCTCCTTCGCGACGGATACGACTATTTCTCGAATCCTGTCGATTTCCTGCTACTAGCAGTTCTTCGACTAGTGCTAATAATGACTGCTATAGTACTCAATCTCATCCACTACAAAGAGGTCTCCACCAAGATGTTTATGCCCATGTTGGGCGTTGCCACGTTTTTCTATTCCTATACGCTAGTTAAATTACTTGCATTCTCTGAGAATGTGCAAATGTTACATTATCCAGGAATATGGTTTTCGGTCACCTGGTCGATACTGGCAGCTCTATTATTTGCACTCGTATGGTATTTCTTTTTAACTGCACATAAGTTCGACTACCACCGCTTGGTCTCTCAAAGATTCGACTCACCGCATGCGAGTTCCTCTGTCGATTCAGATGCGCAAAGAGCTTCCACTGACAGTGAGTTTTCGCATCACTTCTTCATTGTTGGTGTGTTTTCTATTTTTTTTTTGCTTGTTTTTTTGGCGCTACTCCAGAATACACACAAAGATAAAAAACCTCGGATTTCGCTAAAACTTTGTATATAGGACTTATTTGACATGCTGATCAAAAAAATGATATTCATCGAGCATGGTTTGGCCTTTTTGGGTGGGGGGGGGGGCGGTAGGCATACGGTATGTGGCTAAAATCGCAAATCTTGTTGAAACTCTGCAGAGAGGGGTTATTCGACATGCTGATCACGATTATCACGCTTTTTCCGCATGAAAACAACTGTGTAGGTTACAGTATGTGTAAGCTAGGTCAAAATCGTAAATTTGACTGGAATAATGTGGGCTAGAGGGGTTATTCAGATGCTGAACATGTATAGCATATCAAATTCGCAAGGCAGCGCCATTCTCTTGGGTTACGATGGATATACATACGTCAGTTGGGTCAACGACCCAAATTTGCTCAAGAATTGCCCTAGATGGGTTTTGAAGCATGCTGATTACGAATACCATTCTTGCTCACTGCAATCGCCTTATTGCGGAGTTACGGTAATCTGCAGCATATAAATAGACATCATTCTGCTTTTCAGGCCAATTTATATCCCGAAAATCCACGAAATGGCTATCATGCGAAAAGAGCGCGATATTTGTGATTAGCACATCAAATAATCCCCTTGCGTAAAGTTTCAGGCACGTCTGCGATTCTTACCCCTTACCGTATGCCCGCCGTAACTTTACTTAAAGGCAGTGTCCGGGCAAAAAGTCGATTTTGAGATTTTGTGTTTACCCGGGCCTATTCACTATGCTGAATCCGAAAATCCACATTGAAAAGCGCAAAAATGGCAAAAAAGGGCTCTGACGCAGGAGGAAAATCGAAAGTGGGCGGGGTCCTCCCCACTGTGAATTTCGCAGTCCCAGCTTCTGGAGCGATCTTCCCAATTCCTCTAGCGCCCTGAGATCTCCACCAGCCAGGTGCAAACCTCTTTCGCCGTTTTCGCGCTTTTCAATGTGGATTTTCGGATTCAGCATGGCGAATAGGCCCGTATAAGCACAAAATCTCAAAACCGAGCTTTTGCCCGGACACTGCCTTTAAGGGTCCCAAAATGAATGAAAATCGTGATATTCGTGACCAGCATGTCGAACAACCCCTCTAGCCCAAATTCCAACTATCTACGATTTTGACTTCCTACCTTACATCTGCTGTAACCATACACAGAGTTGTTTTCATGCGGAAAAGGCGTGATAACCGTGATCAGCATGTGGAATAACCCCTCTCTGCAGAATTGCAGCAACGTCTGCGATTTTGGCCATTTACCATATGCCTACCGTAACCCCTCAAAAAGGCCAAACCATACGAAATGAATATCATTTTCGTGATCAGCATGTCAAATAACTCCTACATACAAAGTTTTAGCGACATCAGAGATTTTTCATTTTTGGGTTGTGTATTCTGGAATAGTACCTCAAGTGGATTACTGGTGAAAGAATAATAGCGGAACTTTGAGTTCAGTTTTCGAATTTCGGGAGGAAAACCGACAGATGCTCCCCCCCCCCCCCCTCCCTTCTGCGCCAATTGAGGCAACATTAATCTTGCATGAAGGATCTTCCCCCCCTCTCCCATACTTCGTGTATGCTGAGATTCGGACAGCTGAAGTCGCCTTCAGGCGTATCGGAACAACACGTCGATGTTGGTTCTAAACGAATGAGCACCATCAACCACATTTTTGCTATTCTGAAGTATTGCAGTTTACACTGGTTCTGGTTCACGCTAGGTTTCATATTCCTAATCATTTATGCAGGTGGTGAGTACGTCAAGGTGACTATGAGCTTCTTTTTTCCAAACTTCATTACAGCTCGAGTATACATAGCAAATTATACTGGCGAGGTCATAGGAAATATTGTGAAGAAAGCCGGGGTCGCAGCTTTGGTACACTCCGTACTGATAATGGGAGCTTTGACTATGCTGAGGTAAGCTTTGATTAGGGTTCTTTGTTGTATATTATTTGTGCCAAATTACATTTGCGGCAGATTACACAGGAGCTGTACTTTCTTTCTAAATTCATTGATGGCACCAAATGTTTGCAATGCTTCACCCTAGCACGATTTCGAATCGACAGTACTTACAGCTTAGAATGAACATCCTCGCTTATCCTCACATTTCAGCACTGTTTTCGGGGGTCTTCGTGGTGGTTGCTTTGCCTATGCTACTGCACTTGTCGATCGGCAAATTCGCATGAACCTCTTCCGTTCCTTAGTCCATCAAGAAATCGCATTCTTTGACATCACCAAATGTGGTATGATCTGTTTCATCTTTCACATGTTTTTTGCTCAGTTTTCTTCTCGTTCTCAATTACTATCTAGGCGAAATGGTATCTCGTTTGACAGCCGATTGCCAGACGGTGGCTGCTTCAGTTTCGGTGAATCTCAATGTGTTCCTAAGGAATGGTGTAATGCTTGTTGGCTCCATAGCGTTTATGTTTGTCTTGTCATGGCGATTATGTTTGGTAAATTTCCAAAGTTTTGTTATATCGGTTTGTTGTGATTCCTTAAGGTAACATTCATCATGGTTCCCCTTCTTGGCTTCATTACTAAGTGGTACGGCTCTTATTATGATGTGAGTTTTTTATTCGTTGGATAGTATTTCGAAGATATTGGATGAGATTCTATCTTGGGAATTGATGTGAGTCATTACAGAAGCTGTCAGAAAAGACGCAGACTCTTATTGCTGATGCAAATCAGATTGCGGAAGAGGTTTTGTCCACTATGCGAACAGTGAGGTTAGGTAATGCATAATTTCAACCAGATTATGAGATGATTATCTGTCTCAGATCATTTGCATGCGAACGACGGGAGGCTGATCGGTTTGAGAGTAAACTTGGAGCTACTTTGAGAATGAACAAGAAAAAGTTAGTTCTTTTGGCTTTGCTAGTATCTCATACTGACGTGAAATGTTGGTTGGATGGCCTATTGCTTTGAGGGCCATCGCTTATATGGGTTACGCGTGGAATAATGAGTTTTGTGAAAACGCCATTTTGGTAGCAGTTTTATACTATGGTGGACACCCAGTTATGTCAAGTAAGCATATACTACTTTTGATAGCCAGCTTTTCCACAATTTTTATTGCTCACATATTGTCGATCTTACGTTGTTCCTCAAAGTATGTCATGTCGTATAGTAGTCCAAGCATTATTACAATTAATCTTAATCCTCGAATTTTTTTATCGTTTCCCTAGCAGCTCTTCATTCCTAGATATGATGACCGCGGACCAGTTAATCACTTTTCTCCTGTATCAGATACAACTTGGCGAGAACCTATATGTAGATTTTCTTCTTCTAACTTTTTATCCTGTTTCATATTTGTTTTCGCCTTTTATAAGTTCTTTTTAAGAGCATCGGCTATGTTATGACTGGCTTGATGGAATGCGTTGGTGCCTCAAGAAAGGTTACTGTCTACTCTTTATCCTGCTCGTTAGATTCAGTGATTCACTTAGGTGTTTGAATACATGTTGCGTGTTCCTGCCATTGAAAATGATGGAAAAGAGGAACCACCTCTTCAAGGTCATGTGGAGTTCAAAGATGTGCACTTTACCTACCCCTCAAGGCCAAACAATCCCGCACTCAAGGTTCTCAAAGCTATTGTAATGTACTTTTTTGTCACAGAATAGGTTTTAAGGACTTGGATCTGGTCATACAAGCAGGCCGGACAACGGCTTTGGTCGGACCAAGTGGTGGAGGGAAGTCCTCCATAGTAGCGCTGCTACAACATTTCTACGAGCCTGATGCGGGAACGATTACAATAGATGGCGTGAATGTCAGGGACATTTCGCATATGTACTTCCACCACAAGGTAAGCGTAGTAAAGTTGAATTTAAGAACGCCGCGCCAAATTTTACTTGAGATTGCGATGGTGGCTCAAGAACCTGTGCTGTATAACGGATCCGTTCGTTACAACATTCTATATGGATGCGATTGGGCTACTGAAGAGGACATGCTTCGTGCGGCTCATACAGCCAATGTTCATAATTTTGTGATGGAGCTGGAAAAGGGATACGATACGGATTGTGGAGATAAGGGTCTACAAATGTCTGGTAGGTCTCTTTGCAACGTCTCCACACTTCGCTAATGTCAGTTTCATGCTCAGGCGGACAAAAACAACGTATCGCTATTGCGAGAGCATTGGTCAGAAATCCTGTGCTTTTAATTCTTGATGAAGCCACATCAGCTCTCGATGCCGAGTCTGAGGCACTGGTGCAAGAAGCTTTGAACAAGTAAGCACACAAGGATATTCGCTTTTGTTTCTAATTTACTGTTGTATCTCACGTTTATAAGTCCTCGAAAAAATTTTCGGCCTCGGTCACTACTTGTTCAAACTCTTGTACTCTCTGCCGAGAAAAAAATAGTTTTCTCATTCACATCGCCTGTAGGGGTCTTTATTCTTCAGTTGGCACTTCTAGGTGCGCACAAGGACGCACAGTGTTGATAATAGCTCACAGATTGTCTACGATAGAGAAGGCGGACCATATAGCAGTGATAAATAAGGGGTCCTTAGTACAGGTGCGTGCAAAGGTTGATAGCGATCGAGTTTGCAAGTTTCTTTGCTTCCATTTTCGTTGGTATGCTTCTTCACTGAATTGCTATATTTCAAACTATTTGGCATACTTTAGACTGGAAATCATGCAGAGCTGATGAAAGATCAGAATGGGCTATACTACTCTTTGGTTTCTAAACAACTGCTTTCATCAAAAATCAAAGAAGGATGAAGCAATTATCCTCATCTCCTTATATTTAATTTTAATGCATTCAATTAGCATTCGATGGTCGTTCGGTATATTTGATTGTAAATGGACTGCAGTTTTAGTATGACTCGACTGTTGGGTTTCCTGTATCACTTGAACTTTGTGAATACCCTTTCACTCAATCCTGTGAACATTACCAGCTTGATTCAAGTTCATTACATTGTAATAATGTTAGTAGCCCGAAGTTGTAGTGCAAACTAGTCTGCTCAGTTGTTATGGGTAAATTAGTGCTATAAGTTGTTATGATTGTGACGCATCGAAAAATGAATCTCCCTTAGACAGTGACTGTAACATCTGTAATAACAGCGATATTCGGGTAGCACAATATTAAGGTTGCACTGCTTGAAGAAAATTATGTTCCTTTTCACGTTCTTGTGATGTGGGCCCCATTGAAGGCCAGGACGTGGCTTCCGATTACATGCAATTGCAATTTTTTTCCTCACCTGAGCCTTCTGATAAGCGAGTCCCAAACGGCTGCCTATTCTAGCATTAGAAAATTTTTCGATGAAAAGAAGACGCTGACGAATCAACAATTCCAGATGTTCCGGCCATCAGGTGTCGTCGACCTTCAGCGCACTAATTAGCCACCGTAGATTTTTTTTCGAAAAGAGGACTGGAGCGGAAGGTTTTTTAGAAGGAACATGGTAGCAGTCAGGTCTCTCCGATGTCTTTTTGCCCGACGTCTCACTTGAAAAGTGACGCCCTTGTCCGCTGCAATGTCAGCGTCATAGTCTCTACTAGCACACAATGGAAATTATCAGCAAATCTCAAAGTTTTCTCCGCTAGGGGTTTGACAGTCTTCAATTTTTATTTTAAAGAATTCACAGGTATCATCAAAGTACAACGAACAAAGTATGAGAAGTAAATAAATAACAGAGCGAGGTGAGATAAGCATGAGATATAACAGAGAATTAACAACATAACTGCACCCGAATGAAATAATATGCATATTGCCTACATATCTGACTGACAAACCATCTTAATCGTCTGCAGCTGTTCACGGGTAAGGTTCAAAGCACTTGAAAGGAAGAAGTAAACTGTGCACAAGAAAGTAGAACTTCAAAATCTGCAACGCTCACCTTAGATGCGCTCCAAACTTTCCATTGATGCGCAATAAACCAGCCTGTAACGCTGCATCTATCTGGCGGATTGACGCATCGGAGCATGTATTCACGGTTTGATTCTAAACACGCTTTTTCAGTGAAGCACAGTAAAAAAGGGAGAAACCTACCGCTTTCAAGCGGAAAAATTTATCGATTGCCTGGATGAGGTGCACGAAGACTCCAATGATATTTGCAAGATCTTTTAAGACGACACCGTAACGATCTTCTTGGTAAGATTCAACAACAAACATATACAAGCCTAAAAATGCATAGAAACTTCCATTGATAAAATATTTGCTAACAAACATACTTTCAATAGCAAGTACAGCTATATAAGCGTCAAAGCGCGGTATAACACATGCTTCATCAGCAAACAGGGCATATATCTTCTTGAGCCTAAAACCAAGACATACTTCGATAATAGGAAGACAGTGAACATGGAGTTACCATGTGAATTGCTGCGGGATCGAGATTTCGGAGCGACGGGTCATAGGTCTCATGGCGACACGATGACGCTGTCGTACTGCTGAGGAATACACTGAAAAAGTTATGATCTAAAAAATGAACTAGCATATTTCGAGAAAGAAACTTACATTGTTTCCGGGATTTCTGCGGCATCATCAACATCTCTCTATCCACCTCCATCTGTTCTTCCCCTAACACATCTCCAGTAGAACCATCAATGCTTGGTCCACCAAAAAGCCGAGAAGATGCTCCCTGAAGGCACCTTCATCTGCCCAATGCCGGCAAAAATATCGCTATTGGACTGAAAATTAAAATCAGATAAGCCTCTACCTCTATCTCGCTACGAACGCGTTCCAAAATGTTGATACAAGTCGTGCAGATGTTGGACCAATTACGGGGATGACCTCCTACAGAATCACATAATTAGATGAGATTGAGAAGGATACAATTGTAACCGACTGTTTATAAAATTATGTTTTCATTTCTCATTCATACCTGGCTGGCTAAGAGAAAACACCTCCAAACGACGCGCTTGATCTGTCCAAGCTATACGCCGTAGGTCAGTGAAAGCAAACAACTAAAAATGTATTGTGTAATACGACGAAGACCGCTCTCTTCAAACCAACCTTGAGCAGACTGTCCTGACTATCTAAAACATTAGTCAAAGTCCTAGTTTGCTCAGGAGTTGGGGTATGCACGACAAATGGCGGGGGAAGAAGAAAAGTCATTGGCTGGAAAGCGAGGCTGGTTACCAGGTAAACTACCGTACATAGATAGAAAGAAATGCAAACACACCTTCATGACAAGCTGACGATTCAGTTTCAGAAGGACTTTCGTGGCAAAGATCTGACCAAATACAACGATCAAGCAATAAAGATGGAAGGAAATATGGAAAAGGAACAGCAGCGTAGACAAACCATGAGTGAAGCATCCTTAAACATTCAGTATTAAAAAAGGAAAATGAACGCAGTCAAAATTAAAAAAAAACTACCTATTACGCATGAGCTGAAGATTGTGATCAAAACGACACGAACAGCTTCACGAAAAGCAGACGCTATTAATGAGTCGCGCCCGAAATAGAACAGTGTGCTAATAGAATGAGATACTCCTAGCTAAAATAGTTTGGCAAAGGTTGCAAACATCAGAATGATAAAGAACGAGCGGTTACCTGCGCGACACTTCCGGAAAATGACATTTGGAAATCGTTGCGGAAAATCGAGAACAGTGTGGAAATTACAAGTGAAAGTACTAGCGATCCCAGAAAGATACTGAAATAAAACGTGCTATTCTAGCTCTAAGCCAAAAATATTTGCTGCCACCTGTCCATTTGTGGAGCATATGACATTTTCAAGATGATACCAGTGTAAATGGTATTATAAATGAGAACAACAAGGTAACCAAGCCAAGTGTCGCCGCTTTTCCACGGAAGTCTTTGAGGCTGCTCCGCTGGAAATGATTTGATGAAGTACAGAAGAAATGACAACAAAGCATGTTCCGAATTTCGCTATGCCTGACAGGATTGTTTTAGTGAAGGTATCAGATAATCTATAAACATGTAACACAGGGTAAAACCTACATTCAACAAAAAGGCAATCTCCTTACCTTTCACAAGCATACTGAGCAGAATCCTGCTCATCACAAAAGATGCGAAACCGACAACTATAGCAGAAAACCAAGTAGAAAACGCAAAAAGTGTAGAAACTGCATCTATAAAAAAATATGCTTGAGAATTCTAGTGCAATGTAGCACTCACCTCTGAAAAATTGTAGGGGTGACAGCAACGAAAACTGAAGAGCAATCAGCGAAACAATGTAAGTAAATGCACAGATGAGACCGACGATGAGTGAAACTCTCATCTGACGAACTGAGATCTATAAATTGGAGATTAGGGGCTAAACAATGAAAAACTTAGATGTAAAATACTAACCAATCCCCGGAACCAAAATAAGATTTTATCATGTACGGTGGGAAGCTTTGCCTGTTGAGGACTTTGTGGGCGAACAGTACGAGCTTCAGATTTTGTTCTGGGCGCTGAGAAGAACGCATCGTCGTCGAATGTGGATCTGTGGAGCGAAGACATATTCAAGGAATTCAGCAACCATTTACATATGATTACATATTCAAAATATAAGTATTACCTCCTGCCCTGAGACAATGGTGACGATGCTGCTTCATTGTGACCAATGCTTGGAGGAGTAAATTCCCCAGTCATTACCTAGAACAATTGTTTTTAGATGCGGAAATTGAACACTGAATGTCAGAACGATTACGAAGTGACATGATGACACTATAGTGAGCAAGCGAAGTGAGACAAACCTTAGAAGACTGTAACTAGACCCGAACATTGAATGTACGACAAAAGCAAAGATCAAAGCACTAGATGTAGATGAAAAACTTACCCTGGACATTATTTACGGAATAGAGGAAAGCTAGAATTTCCAAATCATGACCCGAGATATTGTCAATTCGAAAATAAATAACCCGCTTCAGGACGGCCCCATTTAAATCTACAGAGTCGGCTGCGCGGGCGGTCGCGTCGCGCGCGCAGCTTTTGTGATTAGGTCACGCTTGCCGTGTGCGCAGCCGACTCCGTGGATTTGTATGCTATTTCAGCTCATTATGTGATTTCCAGTCTCCTATTAACAAGATCGACGGTCTTCATGACAATCTATGCATGTGTTTGGTAGCACTGCTTTCCCACTACAATTGCGATGCCTTTCTGCTTTCAAATCTTTTGTATCTCATGTTCACTTGTATGGGGTTTTCTCTATGTACTGGTAAATTTTTTCGTATATCTTACTTGCAAATTTCATATTCTCATCTGCGAAATGTTGACTGCACAGTTTTTGTTCGCCTTATCTTCATCAATTGCAATCTTGCTGGATTTCCTCATTGATGTGTGCTTTCTGTCGCTCATGCTTACAACAACAATGATGTTTTCAGTCTGTGCGCCCGTCATCTTTACTCTCACTTGCAACGGCCTCTATCGCTTTTGACGGATCTCAAGAAGACGTCAAGAGTAATTTCTTGTTCTGAGGGTTTTGCTTTGGTGCATAGATTGTTTCAGAAGTTGGAGCTTCTCAAATGTAGTATGGTCGCCTGTCTATGGTCGTCTTGAGTGCCGCTTCGACTATTCTTTCCGCAGCAAAAGTAGTTTTCTCCTTTGCAGTGATAGCAGGTAGGAACTTCCAAGTTTGGCCAAATCAACTGGAAGTGATAATCACTGGCGTTTTGCACAACTCCTTCGTCTTATTATGGTTCGATCATGATTGGGGGTTTGACGATTTCATTAATCCAGTTCTTCGAAACTGTCGGTCCAGACCCAATGTTGATTTTTTATTCTTTTCAGTGCGATCACGTGCCATTTCACTTTATCACATCTGTTTCTGGTTCAGCATGGGAGGCCAATAACGGCTCCAAAGCTTGTGTATGAATACAGGTATGAATAAATACCTACTTGCGATTTTGCTTTCTCAAACAAACTTTCTTACAGACTGGCTGGGTCGTTCATTGTTTTTCGTTGTGACAGATGAAAACACTGCTATCAATCCAAAGTGGACTTGAGCTCATAAAAAGAGATATTGGTCATTCACCGGAGTATGATTTCCGATTGTTGTTCCATGTTTGAGAACTTAGAAATCCAGGAACTACTAGAACTTATTACTTCATTTGCAATGAAGTGTAATGTATGTAAGATGTTGACAGAGATAAATGTGTTACTAGAATGATGCTAACTTTCGCTACTTACGATCGCCCTAACCCCACCTATATGTTTCTGCCAGCCTTTTTCTAGCAGATTTGTCGTCGCCTCAAGGCATCCGAAATTGATATCAGTGCTTGTCCTACGCAACGAATATTCAATTCAGTAAAGTAGAGATGACGCAGCATACCGAAAGACTTACATGACTGTTAAAACAGCAGAGATAGGACGTCGGAACTTCAGATGCCTTAGGCGTCTTATATAGTCATGACAAGATGCGAATGACGCGACACTCTTATGCTTTATGAGTATACTTCTGCACCTCTCAAACAAATCATGTTTTATTTCTCAAAAAGACTTTCACTAACCAAAAACCAATGATAGTGCGTGGGCTGAAGAATGCATTGGAAATGATGAGAATAATTGAGAATCATGGAAGCATCCACTTAAACAGTATGCTTACGAAAGACCTAACGAAAGAAAGGACTTCCCATAAACAGTGGGATGACATATCAAATCGTTCCGACTAAGCACTAAGTTCAATTCACTATAAAGTCGCTGAGAATTTTTGAAGGAGGCCAAGAAAGGTTGAAATTTGAGAAAAATGAGTGAAAGGACATAAAAGTACGAAATCAAAAACATTCAGATGAGCAAGAACTTACAACATACAATAAAACGTCGAGAAGCCACAGGTTTCATTGTGAGGCAGTAAGTGTGATAGCAGTCGAATCTCAGGTGGACGAAGTATCACGAAGTATCTTGAGTTCAGATCCGTTGTGAAGTCACAACAGTGTTCTTATCGGTTAGTCCATTCGGTGAAAAGCATGAAGACTGGCCAATCGATTTCTGTAAGAAACCCTTTCACGAGATTTAGTCTCAAGTATACTCACTTGTACATTATTTGTCGAATGATACACAAAGCCTGAAGCGCAAAACTGCTCTCATGTTTGATCGGAGACATAATAATGAGTGAAATGAACGCGATCGCACTGAAAAGATCAAAATCAACATTTAGTCTGGATTTGATTTTGGTTTTGAATAACTGGATAATAAAAATTACGACAAATGATCGAATCATAGTAAAACGAAGGAGTTATCAGACCTCCAAAAAAGAGATTATCAACGGAAAACCAACCTGATGTTCTTATGTTCTACTACAGAATGGTCAAGGGAAACCAGGAGAGTGTAGCAGATGACTATAAAGGCAGGCACGTCATTCAGCTCGAGCAGAAGATCAGTGTAAATGGTGCTTGCACCGACTGAAATCCAATCAATCAGAATAACATGCAGGACCATCTCATCTGTCTCACCTCGCTTATAACTTCGCAGAAATCCAGCACATCTCACGATCAGCACACTGAGCATGGAGTACGAAGAAGAATGTATAGGACGAACAAATAATAGGTTACAACATAGCTTTTGTTTGCCAGAGTGGCAGAGGATAGCGTGCAAAACATATGCCAACAAGTATGAATATCAGATCATGCACCTGAGGCTTTCGAAGGCTTCTGGCAGAATTGTAGAAGTGAGTCATGAGTGAAATAACGAACGAAGTATAAGCCGAGAACAGTGTTACTCAGCATAAACTCAATCAATCAATAACCTAGTTTGAGTTGGAAAACCTAGACTTGAACAGTGATGTCCTCGCAACTCAGAGTTTGATATAGACGCACATTTCAAGAGATGTACTATAAGATAACAGCGATGACCATAACGAATGTATAAACGTAAAATGAAAGGCCACAAAAAAGGTAGTGAAGCAAATCTAAGCACGTCATGTGAAAGTAACAGCTTCCTCCGGAGATTACACGCGATACAAGCGATAATTATGTGATGTGTAAGCAGGACTGAAAAGTAGAAAGAGATGAGGATTCAATAAACTAACTATGATCAAAACTCACAGAACAACGTCATTCTTCTCTGGTCTGCTTCTTTTTGATGCGAGATTGAGAACGCTGCAACTATCTGCTTTAGTATCGCTATCCTGTCACTGTTATTTAACACTTACCGTGAAAAGCTCGGCTTTAGTCATTAAAGGCTTTCCTCCTGGCTTGGAGAGCTCCGTCCTGACAGCTAAGGCCGGGTATTCTTGTGTTGCAGATTGGAGTTTTATTGAGGAGGCCTGATCTACTAACTGGTAGATATCTTGCAAAAAATTCATCGCCTGCTCCGAATCGGTGTTGACCATTACATTTACATTTGTGCTGATGACCGCAAACTTCTAAATATGGATTTTTTGCAAAAATATTCGAGGAAATCAATAAAACTAGGACTAACGCTTTCAATACTACTCCTGATCTGGCTTCGCTGTTGTTTGCGCTGTTGTGAATCGGTCACTTGCGAAGAGGACGACCTTGTCGCGGACGCATCGAATAGGAAAGCTGCCTGATCATCAGTGACAGATGGTTCGACGGAAGAGCTTGATCGCTGGGCTGCTGATCCTCCAAATAGTTTTGCGGCGTGCCTGTGGATACAAGAGATCCCCGCCCTATTGTCCAGGCAATCGCAACTCCATTGGTACGGGCAAACGTCACATAAGGGACAGTGAACATTTGACTCTGCACATGGACATTTTGCTTGTATGACTTCATAAGCCTCCTCCGGGTTCTTTCCTTGTACCAGCCATTTGCAGTCTCCTGTCTTCACAACCTTCTCAGGTTTTCTTTCGTAGTATTCGAGGGCCCATCTGTGGCATTTTGAAGTCTCTTGAACGCGATATGAGGCGTTTGCCAAGCGTCGGCGATCCTAGAAGGGTTTGATCACTCGTGTTTGATCAAGGTACTTACTCACCCTAATTTCAGTTGTGTCGGCGATGTCCTCCACCGCCTTTATAAGCAAGTCCACAAGAAAATCAGCACGCGAATTTGCATTCCTTTGTAGAAGGTCTTTTTTTAGGCGTAAATGCCACCTTTCAGATATCATGGTGGTATCTAACACAGCTCCCCTATTGGCGAAAGACGCCCAACTGGCAGTTCTACCTAAAAAAAAGTTTGATGGTTGTTGTAGATCCACTTTTGAATTCTTACCCAAGTAATTTTCTCTCAAATACGTGGCCATCGCTGTCTGACCCTCCACCTCTAAGAATGCTATGATCTGACCGAACTTGAGTTCGAATTCATTCAAGTCGGTAATCAGAAGAAGATCACGGAGGTCTTTGTTCAACTTCAAACGTAGGCGAGCCTGAAGGTGTGCTCAACTTTTTGGACAATATGTGCATATTTACAACCTCTACAAGCCTGGTAGTTGCCCGTTTGAAAGTCTGGTGGATGTGCCAGCGACAATAATGTAGTTTCGCGTCTGATCTCGGAAATGCCAAACGGAACGCGTTATAGAAACACGGTGCCTCGTCGGTGACAACTTGTTGAGGGGCAAAATTTGGAACCAGCTTAGCAATTTCAACAAAAAGAACGTAGACATCACTGGCAGTCATCGTTCCACTCAAAAGAAACGCTGTAAAAAATCCGCTAATATGATATGCCTGGAAACAAAGTGGAATCCGCAGTAATCTGCCACCTGCTGGTAAACCTCTGTCTTTGTTATCGGCAACAGTGACTGTAGCGAGTTTCAAGCAATATCGCGTAACATTATGCGTGTCGTCAACTGCTATTCCGCGCCCCGAAAATCGTTTCAACCATTCAATCTGTATAGGTGTTATAATCACTGAAAAGAAGATGGTTTAGGTGCTTATAGTGCTGTTTTTTGCTTGCTTACCCATGCGGAACCCCTTTCCACTGGGATCATCACTTATATTAAGTAGCCGGATCCCGTCATTGGGATTACCTTCGGCACTTCTGAGCAGAAGGGAATTCATGTCATTCTTGTGATAATAGCCGGGCCGTAGGCCGTATTTGTAAGTGATATTCCATAAATCATTTCGATTTATGAAATACAATCTGTTTTCTTTTGCCGAAAAATCTCTCTTCAGACGATGTATCACGTAATCCATAGAATGCTCTGAAATGCAGTCCAAAAATTCAAGATCGCGGAATTTACTGAAAAAGTTGCCTAAAATGGTTACTTAACCTGTCGATCGCTAAGAGATTCATTGCATAATAAAATCTTTTTCGAAGAGTTTCGGTAGACATACGACATCGGGTCAAAATCTGAGATTTCGCTAAAAGTTTGCACATAGAAATACTTCGAAACTATCATGAAGTCGCGCTTAATTCGCCTGTAATGACATTTGGGTTGCATGAAAAGCAAAAAAGGGGTTCATTAATGGGCTGTAATCATATTAGGACGTTATTGCAGCAAAAAAGCATGATATTCGTATCAACATAAGTAAAAACCCTCTATTGAGGAGATTTGCACTATTGAGCCATGTAACATATGCCCACATGGTCCGAAAAAAATGGTTTTACCATGACACAGAAAATGATGAAAATACATGAAACAAAATAAATATAAAAATAAAATGCAAATACATGAAAATACGTGAAAATACAGAAAATACATGTTCAGCTTGCGAAATACCATCCCTCTCCTACCAGGCAAACTTTCAAGAAAGTCCGTGATTTTGTCCCCTTCCCCCCTACCGCAAACCTGTCCTAAACACATGAAAAGACGCTTTTGTGCGGAGAAAGTGTGAAATCCGTGATGATGCCGATTAACTCCCTTGTGCAAAGTTTCAGCGAGATATGAGATTTCGATCCCGTTTACCGCATCTCCTCGAAAAAGGCCCTGTTATGCAAATTGAATATAATTTTCGTGACCATTAGTTCAAATAACCCATGCTATTTTTAGCAAATTCGCTTCTGCATCTCTGGTTGTGTCAAATGGATTAGTGCCTGTCTCTCCTTTCTCAATGTACTCTACAGTAATGCGTATCTCACCTTCAAGTAAAGATCTGACGAACTGCTCTTGTGAGGATGTTAGGCGTAGTAGCGCAGGTTCGACATTGTGTCCGGCGTGTCCAAAACATCCTTTCACCGATAGTGTGCCATCATTTTTCGCGTACACATTGACAAAACAGGAACAGGCAACAACGTCCTTTTTAGTGGACGTTGCTCTTGCGGTTGTGGTTTTTTGATATATGCCGGCACGATTACACCTGTGCATGAAAGCTTTGAAAACATTATGCAGTGCCCATTCATCTACCTTAGAGAATAAGCCTTTCCGCCTTCACAGCTTGTTCGTTTATAGAAAGTCGTGCTGGTTCTTTCACACTGGGCATCTAGCCAAACCTAAACATCGGCTGTACACGACAAAACTACAGTTGGTAGATGTAGCAAAGGGAGAGGAGTGGGAAGGTTTCAAACCAGAGGCACTCTACATTGCTCAGAAACTGTAGCTAATCTTCCATCCCCCCCACCCCTGAAAGCCCTTAATTCCCTTCCCCCTACCCACCCCTCCCCTCTCTCCACTCAAAGCCAGAGACTCTAACCCATCCTAGTGCTCATACAGGGATTTGAAGCCTTACTTTGAACTGATCGTCGTTTCCGAAGGTCAGCGCGAAGATGCTATAATCTTGCGGTTCACCATTTGCCCCGTCGCTGGTATGCATATCATTGCAATGATACGCGAGGGCCATGTAGTCTTTACAGCCTTCGCCACAAACTGGGCAATAAAGCACCGGAATATCAGCACTAGCTGACGCTTGACGGGCTACGGCTACCCTCAACTCACTGATTTCATCATCTGAGAGTTTATGTACAACTCTCAGGTGTGAAAACAAATTCTTGCGAAGCATGAACTTCGCGCATTTTGGGCAATCCGACAGCTTCGGGGACGACGATGACATGACGAATGATGTTACCTTAGGAAGCTAGCGTGACTATCAATCAAATCTTATGTTCGGTTGGTCCTAACAGGATAACAGGTCCTAACAGGACTTTCAGTTATCCTGTTAGACCGGTTGAACAGGATCGCTTGAACTTAAAAGCCTAGCATTACTCAATGACAAACACCAGCGATTATCCATACTAATTTAGGCAAACTTGGAACTTCGTTTCCGCTATCGCTAAAAATAAGGGAAAGCTTACTTTAACGGAGAGAATAGTCGAAGCGGCACTCAAGACGACCATAGAAGGACGACCATAAAAACACTACATGAAGCTCCAACTTCTGAAACAATCTATGCACCAAAGCAAAACCCTCAGAACAAGGAATTACTCTTGACGTCTTCTTGAGATCCGCCAAAAGCGATGGAGGCCGTTGCAAGTGAGAGTGATGACGGGCGCACAGACTGAAAACATCAATGTTGCTGTAAGCATGAGCGATAGAGAGCACATATCAGTGAGGAATTCCAACAATATTGCAGCTGATGAAGATAAGGCGAAGAACAGAAACAGTGCACATTTCGCAACTGTGAATATGAACTTTGCATTATCGCAGTACATAAGGAAAACCCCACACGATAGTGAGAGATAAGCGAAATCGAACAATCAACACAGAAACATCCTAGTGGTAGTGGTGGTGCAGGCAGCGATATAGAATTAGTTTGGAGGAAAACAATGCAGTGTCAATGCTACCAAAGACATGTGTAGATTGTCACGAAAACCGACAATCTTGTCAATAAGAGAATCAAAATCACACAATGAATTGATTTAGTATACAAATCTACAGAGTGAATGGATCGCTGCGCACTTACAATATGATTCGCCATAAAACGTTCCAAAAGCACTGTTTCCAGGAATTTTCGTATTGCGACTCTAATCCGAAAAGCGAAATCCATAAAATCGAAACGCATTGCATGGATGGAATTGCTATCACCCAGCAGCTTATTCGGAATGACTGCATTACAAAGTCAGTCAGCTGTAAAGCCGCAAAAGCGTTTTCTATCACACGAGTTATATTTGCTATATAACGGCGTCGCTAACCCAATTCGCAATGACTTTTTTCGCTGGACGTTGGGGTCTTTCATCAATTTCTCGCGGGTTAAGGCGACTCTGACTTCACAAGAAACACACAATAATCAATGCATTCGCCAAACTTAGAGAGGAATAAAGTAGTGGTGTTCAAGCAGCGATACGAATCAGTTCCAAGGAAAACGATGCAGTGTCAATGCTACCAAACATTTATTGTCACGAAAACCGTCAATCTTGTTAAAAAGAAACCGAAAATCACATAATGGGCTGACTCAGCAAACAAATCCACAGAGTCGGCTGCGCACATGACAAGCGCGACCTAATCACAAAAGCTGCGCGCGCGACGCGACCGCCCGCGCAGCCGACTCTGTAGATTTAAATGGGGCCCTTCAGGACAAGGTGCACGGAAACGTTTCCTACCGTACGTCAAATATCCCTCTAAGGCGGGAAAATATCAATTTTATCCTTCTCAAGCGGAAAAATGTTAATTTTGTTTTTGAACAATGTTTACGAATGTTTACGGCTATGAGTTTTATTTTCAAGCATGTTTACGGTGAATTACGGCTGCATCTCTCAACTTTTCATCTACTTCTTTTCATCTAATTTCCAGAGCTGGGTAATATGGCGAGTATTTTGTCCGATCAAATAATCTGACCTTTTCCTGCAATTGGTGTACTGAAAAAGTTTTTTTAGAAAATGGGCAGTTTACTAGAGACAGCTGCGAATATAATGCAGCTGCTGAAGATGGCGATTAGGCCGTTTATCTCGATTAACGGTCATCTCTCTACTTTTTACGATCATACCCTATCAGTGCATGATTTTTTCTCGAGGGTTGAGAATAACAGATATCTATCATTGCGAAAGTGTTATCCGTAGTCATACTCATTTGGCGCTATTCCAGTATCCGGGCCCCAGAATTTTTTTTGTTGTGGATTTGCCCGAAACTTGGCCTGGGAGGGTTATTCGCCCCGCTGATGCCGAATATCGCATTGTTTTTGTATGATAGCGTCATTTTCTGGGGCTACGGTGGGTGTACGGTAGGGGGTCAAAATCACGGAATTCGTTGAAACTTGGCCTAGGAGGGTTACTTGACATGCTTATCACGATTATCATGCTCGCCTTGCGTTTTGAGACATTTCTCCGAAGTTACGGTAGGTATATGGTAGGGAGTCAATACATAGACCTGCTTGAAATGTGTTTAGGAGGGATATCTGACTCGCTGATCACGACTATCGTGCTTATTCGGCATGGTAAAGCATTTGCGTGGAATTCCGTGATGTAGATTGGCCCGAAAGGCGGAGATATGTCTAATTCATAGGTTGCAAGTTACCGTAACTCCACAATAAGGCGTTATTGCAGCGAGCGAGCATGATATTCGTAAACAGCATGCTCAAAAACCCTTCTAGGCAAAGATTTAAGCAAAATCGGAACTTCGACTTATCTACGGTATGCATACCGTAACCCAAATAAATGGCGCTTTTTTGAGAAATCAGTATGATATTAATATTCAGAGGGCTCAATAACCTCCCTAGGCGAAGTATGGAGCAAATTCATGGTTTTGCTCTCCTCATACCGTACACCTACCGTAACTCCATGAAAAAGCCACAGAATGCAGAAAGAGTGTGATATTCGATCAGCATGTCGAGTTGTCCTCCTAGAGTGAATTTCAGCCAAATCCGTGACTTTAAAGGCAGCGGCTCAGCAGAATAGACCTACCTTAGATTTTGACACAAACGGATAGGAGGCCCTCCAAGTAAGCCAAAAGAGCAACTCCGGGCCGAAAATGTGAATTCTGCAAGCCAGGGGGGCGGCCCATGCGTCGCTCCCCTTCCTCCTTTCGCTCCCCTAACACCTTGTTCGGACGAGTATTCTCCGCTAGACGGCGCAGGACCCCCAACCGCTTTCCCGCATTGTGCATGCTATACAAAGCCAAAATTACAGGCAGCAGGGTCTTCGTGCCAGGGCCTCCCGACTCCCCTTTGAAAAATTCTCGTCCGAGCTGCCTTTTGAAAATCGAAAAAAACGCCCCGAAAAAGGCTTTTTCACTCCTTTTAAAGCTCAGATTCGGGATCTACGGGTCGAGAAGGCCCAAAGCATGCAAAAAGATGGAAGTGCAAAATCTGCCGAGCCGCTGCCTTTAACCCCCTGCCGTACATCCACCGTAACCTCAGAAAATGACGCTATCATGCAAAAGCAAAATTTAGGAGCCCTGTAGATGACATATACAGGGCTCCTAAATTCGTGATATGTGATATTCGGCATCAGCGGGCCGAATAACCCCCCTAGGCCAAGTTTCAGGCAAATCCACGACAAAAAAATTTTGGGTCCGGATACTGGAATAGCACCATCATTTTTGTTGAACGCTGCATCAGATGCACTAGAGCGCTTGTATATGTCATCTACAGGGCTCCTAAATTGCAGAGTCGTTTGCACCAGCGGTCGCGCGACCGCGTCGCGCCCGGGCATCAATGGCGCCGCCTCGATCGATGGCGCCGGCGCCGGCAAATTGCCCGGGCGTGACGCGGTAGCGCGACCGCTGTTGCAAACGACTCTGCAATTAGGAGCCCTGTAAAAAATCACCAAACCGTCATTGGTGACATTCTGGGTATTGATATCTCGACAAGATTTTTGATAATGAAGAAAATCTGCGTTGAAAGATCATTTTGTCACTGTTTTTCATAGGCTAAGCGAGGTTTTTGATCTTAAAGGAAAGAAGAAAGGGAAAAAAGACAGCGTAGTGTGGATTACCAAATTCAGAATAATTTAGGCTAGCAAAGCGCGCTCGTCGACGGCACCATCGCAGGGCAGATTGTCAAGAGAACTTCCCGGTAAGTTTTGGATTTCTCATCGGATGAAATTTGTTTTCTAGCCTTGTAACATTGATTTCTGGAAAACCTTTTCGTTATTTGATCTGTCTGGTATAAGAATGACTTAGTGGATTTTGTTGTTTACAAATGATAAAAAAGAAGATTTATTCAGGTGTCAAGCGATGAAGATCTGTCGCGAACGCCAGTGGCGTTTTACTGTTGACTTTCGCCAAATCAATGCTACTACAGAAACTGAGACCCATTGCATACCATATATGCAGGATATTTTAGATCTTGCTAGCGGTAAAGAGATATACAGTGTCCTTGATTTCGAAAGCGGATTTTTTCAAATTCCTTTAGAGAAGAAGCACAAGGAACGCACTGCGTTTTCTTCGTTCATAGGCTTATTTCAATTTTCTGTCATGGCGCAAGGAAAAGGTGCACCAGGAACTTCTCAACGAGCTGTGAATTTTTTAAAAAGGGAATTGAAAGCTTGCTGTTTTGCGTATATTGATGATATCATAATCGCTAGCTCCAATGTACCCAATATTTTTGCGATTTGGAAGAAGTTTTCACTCGTACAATTTGGGATGATTTTAACCCCTGAAAAGTGCTTATTTTTTCAATCTGAAGTGCAGTGTCTGGGGTTACTAATAAGTAAAAATGGTACCCGCCTTAATCCCAAAAAGGTAGATAGCATACGAAAAATCCCTCGCCCAACGAAGACCAAAGCGCTTAAATCATTTCTGGGAGTCGCATCTTATTTTAAAATTCGTCCCCCTTTTTGCGATAACAGCAAACCCTTTGAATAATCTTCTCATAAAAGATGCAGCGTTTATTGGAAGGAGGATCATGAAAAAGCATTCCAAGCACTGAAATAAGCCTTAGTGGAGACGCCTGTTTTAGTACCTCCCATGTTAGGGAATCCCTATATCATCCACACCGATGCATCAACCATCGGTCTTGGCGCATGCCTCTTACAAGTCAATCCGGAAACTAGTAATAAGCACCCCATCGCATATTGCAGCCGTCCATTAACAGAGCACGAGAAGAACTACGCAGTTATCAAGTTAGAAGCTTTAGCAATAATTTTTGCATTAAAACACTTCTTCCCTTATGTTGCAAATAGTTCTATAACGTTGATAACTGATCATGCACCGCTAAAATCGCTAATGCATAGATCAGATCTCGTGGGTCGTCTCGCTAAGTACCAAATCACTTTGCAAGCGTACGACATCAAAATCGAGTATCGTGCTGGTAAGCACAATACTTTGTGCGACTTCCTTAGTCGCTACCAGTCGCAAGTACTAATTCCATCCAAGTTCAAGCACTTCCGTCTCTAAGCGATATCCACAAATCTCAGATTAACTCCAAATACAACGAGTTAATCAAATTCCTCAAAAACGAGATTGATAGTCCACCAAGCAAATTTTCTGATCAAATAGAACATTTTTGCCTTTACAACAATTTACTTTATCACATAAAATCAAACAAAAACCAATTAGTAGTTCCTAGTCCAGTTTTGCAACAGAAAATCATCCAAGTTTTCCATAACAATCCTTTACTAGGATCCCACTTGGGAATAAGAAAAACGTATCAAGATATCCACGTTAAATACTTTTAGAAAAGAATGTTTCATAATGTGGTAGATTTTGTAAACAAATGTCCTAGTTGCTAGAAGATCAGAACGCCGTCTGGAAATATAATTCGTGAAGAATTGGGTCCGTTCCCAGTTCCTCTCAGACCATTTGAGCGCCTTCACACGGATATAATAGGCCTTTTAACTCAATGTATTAATGGAAACAGATTCATTTCCATTACTGTTTGCGCGTTCAGCAAGCTGAATCACTTGTACTGCTATCGCGGATCAAACAACAGATGCTGTTATAAAAGCCTTGATCAATGATATGATTGCCAAACATGGTATCCCAAACGAATTTGTCTGCAACCGTGGTTCTAACTACACAAGTGAGATGTTCTCCAGAATCAACCAGATTCTGGGCATAGAGAACAAATTCACAACCAATTACAACTACAAGGCGAATGGACAGGTCGAGAGAATGAAAGATAATTGT